GCTTATTTCGAGGGTCAAAAGAATATAAAACCCTGTCTTATTTTTTGCACAGTATATATGTGAGTGTATGAAAATGAAAAAATGGAAAATAAAAACCTTTTTCACACACACACAAAAAAGAACTAAGGGGAAACCGAACGGGAGATTATTTTTGCATTTGTGTCACATTTCTGGGTTTCCTAGAACTATCTAGTTGACAGTGTGAGAACAAATTGTGAGAGTCCTCATGCCTTTAGTCTGATCCAGTAGAACTTTTCTATATAAATTAGTTAAAGGGAAATGAAACATGAGAAATAAAAGCAAGCTACCGTAGATACAAGGGGAATAAGTGTCCAGTGTAGTTATGTTTATGACCATTTGTTTAGTAATCTCCAAATTAATAAGGTTGCTTTATTTGAAAAGACAAAATTCTAATTCTTCAGCAGTTCCTTCCCACTAAACCATAGGAATTTTAAAAGGCCAACTTAAATGCTTCTGGACTGGAACCACAGTTAATTTTGTTTTTCTGTAAAAATTTAACTGAAATAAATGTTTCATTATTTTCAGAAAGAATACAAATTTAAATCAGAAGCAAATAAACAAAAAAGATATTTTACTCTCAACTGCTGTATCTTTCCATTTAAAGAAGAATGAAATCCCACATGTTGAAAAAGTGATGGTTTATAACGGATGCGTAAATTAGACTTCTGGCTTTCACAGTCTTTCTGGAAAGGAAAACATTTTGTGTCATAAAAACCAGGCAATCATATTTATACAGAATTTTATCTGAACATTTATTATTCTCGTACATGCAGTCTCATAAGAAGAAACTGCCTAATGTATTAGTATGATATTAATAAGCAGAGCTGATGTAATATCTATAATCACAAGTATTCCTAATGTTCAAGTGGATTTGAAGAATTTCAGCCTTTGTGAGGAAAAAAGATTAAAGCCTCACCAGAAATATTAAAACCATGTGAAAGCAAACTTAGAAGCAGGGTTTGTCTAAGGATCAACATAGAATATGTAAGTAGGATAAATGCCATCAACTTCTAGAAAGATAGAATAATTTTATCTTTAATTATTACATGGGTTATTGTACTATACACCCATGTGATTTAAAAGCGATATGTGACTGAAGTTGCTTTAATCACTCAGCAGAGAATAATACACCAAACATGTCCTCTGATAGTGAGGCCATCAGTGATTTTCAGATTTTCAGAACAACTGGTTGTAAATTAAAATGGAATTTATTAAACAAACTGATCATAGCCCAGAATATACAGTATTTATATTTCCAGTATAACGAAGCAGGCATTTTTAATTCTAGAATGACTTCATTGTTGGCACTAAAATTTCAGGACACTGGTTAATTTATAAATCAGTTTTAATACAAAATGGTATAGTAATAATTTCTCCTTAAAATGTGTCTCTCTTGTTTTGTGTGTGTCATTCTGTCTTGTGTACATACATATAGCTATTGTTAATAAATAGACTACTTACTACATTTTTCTCTGGATTACAAACTTTAACTGAAATTAAGTGGTCTAGTAGCCAGTCAATTGGTTTATCTTTGTAGAACATTAAAAAAAATTCTACTATCAGTGGTAAGTCTTTGCATCGGAATAATTTTCCTAAAAATGCAATTTTTTTTAGAAGAGGAAAAGAGAATCATAATTTTATTTACAACACAGTAATTTATTAACTTTATTGTCCAGATCTATCCATTACTAACAACTTGGATCAAGATTTAGTTACGTTTAGTCTATTATGTACACTTAACATCATTCAATTCACATACATAATTCAAATTGATTTTAATAATTTATTTAGAATATTGCAAAATCTGTAAACAATCTCTTGTCTATAGAAAATACATTTTGTCTAAAAATAGAAAATAGTAATGACTAGTAATTTGAGTGAGCATTGAAATATTAATACAATAATTTCATGTGTTTATGGCTCTTAATTTATATTGACTCTTACTTTGTTTCTTTCTGTTTGAAAGAATGTTTCACATTTTTATTTGCTAAAATAGCAGCTCTTGTTTCCCAGATTCAAGCAAAGAGGCTTTGATTTTTTTAATCTCATTTTCAAGATGCTTTTAGATTGTTTAGTTTATTTTATTATTGCGAGATGGCATAGGATGATGATAAAAAATTAATTACATCTCTCTCCATTGTTTTTAACTTTTCTGTCTCTCTTTGCTTTCTAAACAGAAAAAAATGAAAGCAGTACCCTAATGTCTTCACTTAGTATGTAGCTGAAATATGAGAGGAAAGCTAGAGATTATTCAGCAGGGAAAGACACTCAAACACATATGAACTGCTTAGCACTTAGGCAAACGCATGAATATCGAAACCAGCCTATGAAGATTTAAATGCACTTAAAATTCTCTCCTAACATGTAAGATTTAAAACCATGGATTATTTTTAGAATAAGAATGGCTTTAAAAAGGCAAATATTACATTCAACCCATCTTTATAGTAATTTTATCAACTATAAATATTAAATAAACTCTATTATCAACAAGGATAAATCCTAAATGATGGATACTTTTTTAAATGATGCATTATACTATGCTTATAGTGCTTGGATGAGATCTAGGCAATTCATTAAACAACTCCACCAGTTATTTTCTTTCATGATCCTCTGGAAATTCCATAATCCATGTAAAAAAGCACATTGATTTTTACCTGAAAAGCCTTTCTCTTTCTTTCTTTTCTTTTCTACGAATAAACCTTATTGAATTCAATGAGATTTACCTATTCTGCCATGCATACATAACATAGACTGAAAAAGTAATTTAAGTACAGATTCGGAATAATATTTTATTGGATTGTTGTTTGTTGCCCAGAGTGCTTTTAATGAAATGGGTGGCCATCCAAATTCTATTAATAAATAAAAAAATATTGTGGAAAATGGCACATTAAATATTTAATAACATAATTTTGCTGCTGAAAGATAGAAAATATATCCACATATTCTTATTTAGTCTGATCTTTGTGGACTCTTGACAATATTTATTTATCACATTTATATACTGTTGTACTTACCAATAAACCCAAGTTGAGAAAACTCAAGAACTATCCATTCCTGTGATAACTTTAGTTCAATAAAGTAATTTATTGTATATAAATATTGAGGGTTGGCCACAATGTCATCTTCTAGCTGAAAAATAGATTATTTTTACTAGCAAAATCATAGATCCTAAGACTCTTAATAGAATTTTTCTTCCAGAAGAAACTTAAAACTCCAACAAGAAAAGGATTAGAGTAAGGAAGATGTATGAAAATATGAGAGCTCTGTGTGTCATCAACCTATCATTAAAAATCTACAAATAGAAGGAACATTATTGTCTATTGGGAAATAGATCCAGAATGTACATTATCAATAAAGCTGATTTCCTGGAACCACTAAAATGATTATTATGTCAAGACTCAACTAATACCTTGATAAAATACTTAGAATAATAATAAAACATCAATGGATGTATGAATATAAAATTTAAATAAATCATAGTGGATGAAATTAATTGCCAGTGAAAAGGTACAAGTATGGAAATGACATGATAGCTAGGAAGGCAATCTAGGAGTGCAATCCTTGAAGGTTTTCCTGCCAAATAGCATGTGGGAATATTATTAACAACACAGAGAATCCACCACAGATTGGCAGGGCTACAGACATCTATATGAAAGCTTACACAAATGCATTTTTATTGGCAATGTACCATTTCCCTTAAGAATAAAATAGAATATTCTTATCCTGAAGCATATCTACACTTGCTATTTAAGATATTCCCGTTGGATGCTCAGACTGGCCTGACTCTAAGCTGCTTTAAGAAAACCTTGTCCAGACTGAGATGCTTTTGACAACAGCTGGCAAGATATTCAGTCCAGACTACAGGTTACCACATACGTCCACTGGACAGTTCTCCTACTGTTGTGCCTTCCAACCTGTCTGTCTAGGAAAACAATTGCCAATCACATTCTTTGTTGGGGGATCCTTATAGATGTGTCTATTTTTATATACATATATGTGTACAAAATCAATATATAAAACTGACTTTACATATATACAAAGTTAGAATAACCTAATGTACATACATGAAGAAAAAGCTTTGAAAACCTCCTTTCTTTAAAAAAAAATTTCTAGCACAAAATAATGTAATAGCATATTAGTTAAAGCATCTATCTTGTAAATATAAGGTTAATGGTTCAAAATCCAGCAATAGCATTATATTTAAATTATTTTAATGTCTCTGATTGTATTAATTCTCCCTGAGCTTTCTTCAAAAGTAAATTCAGCTACTGGCTGCCTTTTCTGGCAATGGAGCAACTGGCCATCACAGATAAGCTTTGAGTCAGGGATAAAGAATTACAAAGTACATTTTTGTAAAAGCATAGTATATCTTGTGAAAGATATATAAAATCAAATAGACAATTCCCTTATTAAATTGTACTGTATTGACTAAAAAGTAAGCATGCTTTATTTCTGCTTTATTTCTATATTTTTCCCTAAATACAGTACAGGGATACTGGTAGTTTCATTTTGTTCTGTGTAGCAGCAACAAGCAGGGGGCAAAGCCAGCAGCTTTAAAAATGTGATGTATGAGGAGAGTGGAGGGGAAAAAATTAGTCTGAGGTAACTATCCTGACAGTGATAAATGGTGAAGAGAAATCTTGTAGTTCGCAGACAAGCCATTTAATAGGTTGTGCCCATTTGAAGCTTTTATTTAGTGCCTACCTACCTAGATACCTACTGTCTCTTGGGATAACAGATAAGTTCATAACCCGAAAATTGGAAAAGATTGTGCAGCCAGAAGGAAGATTACTATGCTTGATATTTGGATCTAGGCCCTGTGCCAGGGGTCCTCAAACTAGGCCCCTGGGCCGGATACGCCCCACCAAAGTCATCTATCCAGCCTGCGTGGGGCCACAAGGCAGCCCCACCCACTTTCTGGCTCCCATCCTTCGGTCAAGCACAGGACTCACCTTCACTAGCACCATGGGCTGGAACTGGAAGGCATAGAAGAGTGCTACTAGAGGTGGTGGAAATTTTGGCCAGCAGAAGGCTTCTGAAGGGCGGGGAGGACAAAAACGGGGCACACAGAGGCCCCTGGAAGCCCAAAACTGGCCTAATTTTGGCCGGCAGAGAGCTACTGGAGGACTGGATTGGAGGAGGAGGGTCACCCACTTGCCCACCCACTGGCTGGACTAGTCTTCAAGTTTCAAGCAAAAGAGATTTGTTACTTTTGGGGAGACCACAGGATTGCCCCACCTCCCCACCAGCCAGCTGGTCTTTGGCACACCACTGGTCGGCCTCCGGACATCAGATTCCCACCACTCAGCACCAGTTCAAGGGTTCCTTCCTCCCCCCAGGGAACAGAGAGCAGGAAGGAAAGAGAAAGAGAGGGAGAGAGACTTGTTGATTGTAAGTTCCTTGGGGCTGAGAAGAATTGCGGCAAAACTGAATTTCCTGAAGTGGACCACTAGACAACTTAAAAAACGATCTAGTAAAAAGAAAAATGAACCAAAAGAGTAACATGCAAGCAAAAGCAAATAAAACACCACCAGGAGCAAAACAAATGTTAATTTATGTGTATTGTTTAATGGACTGCTAAATTGGCCACGCCCACTCAGTCACATGATCACCTAGCCACACCCACACAGTCAGTCTGGCTCCCCAACAGTCTTAGGGACTGTAAGTTGGCCCCGTTTAAAAGGTTTGAGGACCCCTGCTCTATACCATAGATAAATCTCTTATTATAACCCAACCTAGTTGCAAATATTATTCTACTTTCCCAAAATGTGTCCTGTTTATTTAACAAATCTGCTCCTTTCAATCTTTTCCATTATAAGTTGCATTGAATGCTGGCAGGCCAATGCTTGTTATTTTTAACCACCTTGAATTACCATAGTATTTAAAACAAAGAATTCTGTGGCATATTAAAAGCTAAACAAGTTTATTTTTATCACCTAAGCTTTTGTGAATCACAGTCCAATGAATTGGATAGCCTTTAAGGTTGGTGCCATAATATCCTTTTATCCAACAATGTCCACCCTAAGTCTGGTGCTTCAAATACGACTTGACTACCATTCTGAAAACAAAATATTTGTTCCATTGTAATACCTTAACATTTTTAATTGTTAATTAACTGCACAAATATAAACTTCTCATGAAATAGTGTGTCAAGTCAACTGCTGAAATGAAATACGACTCAAATGTCCCTGACTGTTGGCTCACCTTCTGAATCAAGATACTAAAAGCTAATGAAGTTTTTAATGTTTTCATTTATCTCCCTTGAGCATTGAAACGCTTACTAGGCCTTACTGAATCAGAGCTCCTCAAAAATGCTTTCAGCTTTAAAATGCACAATTATCTCAGAATGAGGGAGGCCTGAAAGGAGACCGAGAATAATTACATTTCACCCTAGGTGATGAGGGATTTGGTTGCTTGCACTTATGGCTCCCGTACCCTCATTATCTATTCCTTGGCAGAGTTAAAAGTCTCTCAAAGGCCCCTATGGAGTTAAGAAAATATGAATGACTGCATGAACTGAAAATATTGATACAAATTTCTCTAAACCACTCTCAATCTTTTATTGATAAATCACACAATTGCTAGAGTGTTTTTTTTTAAAGGGAAAAAAACATCTTGTATGGGGGGGGGGAAGGAAGAAGCAAATAGGCGGGTTAATTGTCTTAAATTGCTTCCTAGCAGTACTAGAAAGAAAGGAAGAAGCAACCAAATCTGTTCCAGTAGTGAATTTCCTTACTACTAGTTTGCTTGTATGTGCGTGCGTGACAGTGCTGCGCATGCGCAAAAGCATCCGGGTGGGTGGGTAGAGCCTCCCTATTTGGGCTGAACCAGGAGCAACCCACCTCTGATCAGTTCCCTCTTCTTTCCTCCTAACTATTAAAAAAGGATTCTCACACACATATATTCCAGATTTAAAGAAAATATAGCATGAGAATAAGTACCCTTTAATCTCTCTTTCCATGTAAAGGAAAAACAGTGACAAACTATATCTTCTTCCTACTGTATTCTCACAAGGGCAGGGTCCACTTTTCAGATCATTGAATGCCACTTTGCACAGTCAGCTACATCTCCAGGGTGCAGGCCCACAGCTTGCATATCTTTGTTGATGTTGTCTTGCCATCTCTGTTTTGGATGCCCATGAGGTCGCTGGCCACCCTAACCCTAATCGACACCTAAAGATTGAAGAATCCAGGCACATAATCTTGCACAATTTAGACAGTATAACCACATATAGTCATGAAACATACCTGTAAATAATATGTTCCCTTTTTTTGGGCATACATCATTAAGAAACTATAATCCAAATTCTGTTTTGTTCTCCACCTAAACAAAAAAAAATCATGAAAATTTTAAAATACAAATCTATTCTTGTATTTTTTTTCTGTATCGACAAAGATAGATACATTTTTGCTGAAACCTATTCAAATTATTTTGCTAGATAGAATTCAGAATGGAAATTGCTGTCATTATTTCTAATTGAAAGAATAGTAACGTAGAAAATAGCCCTATTGATTATTCTGGATGTAAGCAGCTTTGAGCACTATCAAGAATTATATTTGCTCCATTCGAAATTGTAAGCACTTTGATAGATTGGATATATTCCTACCGTGTTTCCCCCAAAATAAGACAGGGTCATATTTTATTTTGACCCCCAAAATAAGCACTTGATCTTATTTTCAGGGATGTCTTATTATTTTTGAGGTACAGGATGCAACGAGCGTAGTCACCTCATGGCTGCTTCTGCATTGCAATATTTTGGGGGAGTGCTTATTTTCAGGGGTGGGTTTATTTTAGCATATGTGCCGGATTGGGTTTATAATCCAGGGAGGTCTTATTTTGGGGAAAACAGGGTACCTGGCTTTGACATTTCAGAAAACAGATCCTTTATTCACCAGCTATTTCAGAATTCTTCTATCATATTTTCCTAAAGTTTAATTTCTCCATTGATCTTCTGTGATACTGTATATGGTTTGTATATACAGAGTAAAATTATATTAAAAATCCTGGGTGATTTCTCATTTTATGATAACAAATAAACCAGCTTTCTGTCTTATCTATAGTCTAGAAAACAAATGGAAGAATTGAAGAGCTGACGTAGTAGTCTCTGATTCTTATGCCAAATAAATTTTCTTCCACTGAAAACAAGGAACTAAAGCAGAAACCTTCAAACTTAGAATTGATCAATTGTATCATTAAAAAGATGATGAAGATGCTAAACATTTAAATCCAGGGACTAACATATATAGTGGGCAGAATTTCACCACGTTGTTCTAGAAAGATCTTCATATATATGGCTTCTTGTATCTGCTTGGAAATGTAGGCAACATTCTGACGTATGTTTTCCTGGAAAGGGCTAATTTCCCCTTTAAAAATTGTCTCAATATGATCCAGACTGCTTTGTCAGTTATGATTAATAATGCTTCTTATAGCTTTGATAACTGTATCCCTTACCAGAAAATAGGGACCCAGTAGTTCATCAATATGAAGGGGCATGATTTTGAATACATTACATAAGGGGTCCCCCACAACTCATCTCTTGTGCACCAACTAAAACAGTACAAGAACTGGGATTCATTATTTAAAAATTATACAAATGTAAATTTTCAAAACTGATGTTATTCTAAAGCTGACTGTAATGTGTTCCTTTTCATTAATGTCCTTCTGCTTATATCTGCCTTCTATTGGTAGCTGCTTTATGTGTTAATCAGAGACAATAAACACATGTTTCACTATTATGTTTTATTATAAAGTTATTGTATAATGAGCCTGCGCAAAAATGGACATGACATTTTAAGAATTTAAGAATGTAAAAATATGTAGGAAAATGCAATCCAAGGATCTTATGATCCCATATTTCATACCTCACTCTTTCTTTTGAATCGCCAAATGTTTCCTTAAGATTGGAGAAGTCAGGGTAAAAGGATTCATGGGGTGAAATAACTTCCAGAGCACCAGAAACAACTTCATTTGAAAAGCTGAAGAAAGAAAAGAACAGCATTTTCTTCCAGTGAGTGTTCAATCAGGATATTTAGAAGCACTTCAACTGACAGGACTTCAACAGAAGATGGTGCCAATATGATATTACAATATTTATACCTAATTACTTAAAGCTACATATCTGCAATGGTTACCTTAAATCTGTGTGTGTGTGTGTGTGTGTGTGTGTGTGTGTGTGTGTGTGTGTGTGTACATATACCTACACATACATACTATATAACAGAAAACAAATGTGTGTGTGTGTGTGTGTGTGTGTGTGTGTGTGTGTGTGTTTATTTGTGCTGATAAATAAATAAAGGGAAAAAAACACAAATATAACAAAGGCAACAGTAAAAATATTGGGTTTCTGTCGTGATGGACTCTTGTGACGAGCTGATTGACAGAGAATGGAATCAGTTAACTTCCTCCCATAATTGGGGCATACCAGGGGTTGTGACTTTATATATAAAGTGCTGATAAATAAATAAAGGGAAAAAA